CCTAAAAGTACAATCAGGAGTAGTCTCTGGTGCAGCGTCTTCTCAACTTTGGCTGCACATTAGAAACACCTGGGCAACTTGAACTCTATATAATGCCTTAGCCCACTCCTAGAGATTCTGAATTGGCCTGTGGGAGGCTTGGCACCTGTATTATTTTTTTAACCTTCCCAAATGACTTTAAGATACCATTAGGTTGAAGAACCATGCCTCGAAGCTAAAGGATTTATTCCCTCTACTGTACTTAGTATGTGCTATGGTCATAGCCTATATTATAGTGCACCTATTTTGTAAGTAAAAGGTTTTTGAGAATTGGCCCAGGAACCAAAGAACTCTTACTACATTTCTTTTCCTTTACAAACTTTTGGGGAGGGCTTCCTATGCTTTGTCATTCCTAAAATGCTTGATTTTCCCAGACAGTAAGGATTTATTGAAAGATATAACAAGGAACTTTAATTTGTTTGATTCCGGAGTTGTTATTTCCAGGCTGTTTTTGGCAGGCAGGAAAGAGGTTAGGGTCCTCTCAGGCTAGAGGAAGTGTTCAGGGCACCTAACTGCTAGGCAAGAAGAATCCCCCTAAGAAAGGGCATGTGTGGGAGGAAAGCAGATCTTCCCAGCTCTAAACTGTACAGCTTTGATGTCCTTCTTTCTTCATAAATTTGCTAGTATTGCCCTGCATGTAGTTGAAGTAACCACATCCACATGCTTACCTATTAAAAAAAAAAAGCTTTAGAATACCTGATGTGTAGAGGGTGGTGGGATGAGGATTTCTGAGGATCATTGGGGTAACTCAAAGAAACTGGTAGTGCCTGGCCCATCCCTCTTTATTGCCATGTCCCCAAACTCTGAGTATCTAACTCTTCCAGGCTCTCACTTGGAAAATTGCAGCTAGGATGACCATGGCTGAAGGTGTTGCATGTCTATAGCACATTTCTGCTCAAAATAATCATAGAACTTTATAATTGAGGCCATTTAGACAAAATAAAAAGAGACAACCAAAATTGAAAAGCTAAATAATTTGTACTTGATCACCAGGTGGGATTTACAATCGGAATGTGAATCTGCATCTCATTTTTGCTGTTTTGTACACTCATAAATGTATTAAACCTAAATAAAAGACTGGAAGACTCATAGGTCAAAAGGGGGTACTGAAGACCTCTGTACATATGAAGTGCAAGAGTGACACTTTAAACCCACATCAACCTCTCCTCGCCAAACACCTTTCGTAGCTCCTCTCCCTTGTTTTTTCTAAAACAAGCCCCACTCCAATCAAAATGCTCACTTAGAATTTTTGTTTTCTAACATATGTTGTTTACCACCTAGATTAAGTCCCAACAAACATAGCCATAGCCATGGCTCCTGACATGTATACTTCTCTTCAGATGTACTATCCCTTTCAGTCTATGGAATTCAGACATTTAAGAGTCCATTATCCCTCCCGAACAAAAAATATAGGCAAACTTTATTAACATTTTATTGTTACTTTCATCCTCACTATACAAGTCATTTAAAAAACCATTCCATGACTTTGGTATTTACAAAACCAAAAAAAAAAAAAAAATTGGACAGAGGGTGGCAGTGTTGATTCACTTGAGATAAAGGAAAGACACCGTTAGAGTACCAAGTTACATTCAGTGGAAATAATTCTACAGAATACATTGGCTATTCCACAAAGGCAAAATACAGAGGAGCAAGTTAATCAAGTTACAAACTAACTTTATATTGAACTCAAATAGTAGACAGCTGAAAAATAAAATATATATAGGCCAGTAGCAAGGTCCTTAGGTCACCTACTTTCAGAGACAAATTTGAAAAACACTGAAAAAGGCAGTTCCTAACTATACCAAAAGAGACACACAGCTAAACTTTACAAACAGCTTGCAAAATTGAGAGCCGATGAAAGGCAAATATATGGCAATGCAAAGTCTCGAATCCCATCTGTTTTCATAACAAACGTGACCAGGTCTGGAAAAGCCTCCTCCTAATCCACCTCCTCAATGGTCGGGCCAGACCCAGAGCCCCCCTTGGGGGCCTGGGCCCCAAAACCACCGGCCCCGGGGCCACCCGCCCCCTGGTACAGTCCGCTGATGATGGGGTTACACACCTGCTCCAACTCTTTCCTCTTGTGCTCAAACTCCTCCTTCTCCGCCAGGGTGTTGGCGTCCAGCCAGGAAATCACCTCCTGGCACTTGTCGAGCACCTTCTTCTTGTCCGACTCGCTGATCTTGCCTTTGAGCCCCTCATCCTCCACAGCGCTCTTCATGTTGAAGGCGTACGACTCCAAAGCGTTCTTGGCAGACACCCTCTCGCGCTGGACCTCGTCCTCGGCTTTGTACTTCTCCGCCTCCTGCACCATGCGCTCGATCTCCTCCTTGCTCAGGCGGCCCTTGTCATTGGTGATGGTGATCTTGTTGGCCTTGCCGGTGCTCTTGTCCGTGGCCGTGACGTTCAGGATGCCATTGGCGTCGATATCAAAGGTCACCTCGATCTGGGGCACGCCCCTGGGGGCAGGTGGGATGCCACTCAGCTCGAAGCGCCCCAGCAGGTTGTTGTCCCTTGTCATGGCCCTCTCGCCCTCGTACACCTGGATCAGCACCCCGGGCTGGTTGTCCGAGTAGGTGGTGAAGATCTGCGTCTGCTTGGTGGGGATGGTGGAGTTGCGCTTGATCAGGGCAGTCATCACGCCCCCGGCAGTCTCCAGCCCCAGCGACAGAGGAGCCACGTCCAGCAGCAGCAGGTCCTGCACATTCTCGGACTTGTCCCCCATCAGGATGGCTGCCTGCACCGCCGCCCCGTAAGCCACCGCCTCATCCGGGTTGATGCTCTTGTTGAGGTCGCGCCCGTTGAAAAAGTCCTGCAGCAGCTTCTGCACCTTGGGGATGCGGGTGGAGCCCCCCACCAGGACCAGGTCGTGGATCTGGGCCTTGTCCAGCTTGGCGTCACGCAGAGCCTTCTCCACTGGCTCCAGGGTGCCCCGAAACAGGTCGGAGCACAGCTCCTCGAAACGCGCCCTGGTGATGGACGTGTAGAAGTCGATGCCCTCGAACAGGGAGTCGATCTCCAGGCTGGCCTGCGTGCTGGACGACAGGGTCCTCTTGGCCCTCTCGCAGGCGGTGCGCAGCCGCCTCACGGCTCGCTTGTTCTGGCTGATGTCCTTCTTGTGCTTCCTCTTGAACTCCTCCACGAAGTGGTTCACCAGCCTGTTGTCAAAGTCTTCCCCTCCCAGGTGGGTGTCCCCGGCCGTGGCCTTCACCTCGAAGATGCCGTCGTCGATCGTCAGGATGGACACGTCGAAGGTGCCCCCGCCCAGGTCGAAGATGAGCACGTTGCGCTCCCCCTTGCCGGTCCTGTCTAGGCCGTAGGCGATGGCGGCGGCCGTGGGCTCGTTGATGATCCTCAGCACGTTCAGCCCCGCGATCACCCCTGCATCCTTGGTGGCCTGGCGCTGCGAGTCGTTGAAGTAGGCGGGCACGGTGATCACCGCGTTGGTCACCGGGTAGCCCAGGTACGCCTCGGCGATCTCCTTCATCTTGGTCAGCACCATGGACGAGATCTCCTCGGGGTAGAACGCCTTGGTCTCCCCCTTGTAGCTCACCTGCACCTTGGGCTTGTCCCCGTCGCTGATCACCTGGAAAGGCCAGTGCTTCATGTCCGACTGCACCACCGGGTCGCCGAACTTGCGGCCGATCAGCCGCTTGGCGTCGAACACGGTGTTCTGCGGGTTCAGCGCCACCTGGTTCTTGGCGGCGTCCCCGATGAGCCGCTCGGTGTCGGTGAACGCCACGTAGCTGGGGGTGGTGCGGTTGCCCTGGTCGTTGGCGATGATCTCCACCTTGCCGTGCTGGAACACCCCCACGCACGAGTAGGTGGTGCCCAGGTCGATGCCGATGGCTGTGGTTTTAGCCATGCCGGTGCCCTGCTCTCTCGCTCCGCGCTGAGGTTCGGGCCTGAAAACCGCGGCCGGGATCCGCGAACAGAAGCTCGGTCCTTTCCGAAGCCGGGAACTGAAGGCCGGTGCCGCAGGGGTTCGTCCTCGGAGGCAGTGGGTCCGTGGAAGCGCGCTCACGAACACCAGACAGCAGTTCGACAACTCGCTTGTCTCTGCAGGTTCGCTGTTTTCCCCACGGCGAGCGGCTCTGCATTTATAATTCTTCATCGAGCCTCCCCCTGTTCCCAGCTCACCCAATCACCAGGCTCGGAGGCGCTGCCTGGTCGGGAACATTCCAGGGGATTCGCCTTGCGTCCTGCCCCCAGTCTTTGCCAGACCAATCAGCGTCCTGGGTGCCGCCCCACCAGAACTCTCCAGACTTTTCTGGGGCTTGCTAGGCGGTGGAGAGGAGGCGGGAGATGGGGGTGTGAGCGGCAGGAGGG